ACTTTTCTCTCCAAACTTTCTTTACAAAGCCTAGGTTGTTTAGTCAGTATGAGACAAGGCGAGCAAGACATCAACTTGCCACATCTAATTTATAAATAATACTCAGAAAATTACTAAAATTGCTATTACAAAATTATGGCAAGTAGGCGAAATTCTAGAGGAGCGAAGCTTCTTCACCAACGATGAATGGGTAAGCTTTTTCGTAAATCGATTACAAGCATGAAAATCTAAAGAGCAATTTAAAATTATAACATGTGGAAACCTGTAGAAGTCACCACAAAAATATTCTTATTAATAAACATCTGCAACCCGGGGACGAGGTTGAAACATCTGAGAATCAGGACACCCTCAATACCCCAATCACCAGAATACCTTTCTCTAAAATAAAAGATATCTACTGCATGAATTCCTTGAAAATACGGGATCAAAGTGATTTCGAGGAAATCTACATGAAAAGGGTAGGGTAAGGTTAAAACTCAAACTTGAACATCGTTAGGTGTAAAACATGTTTGAAAGTGTAAGAACAAATCAAATACGAGACACCTGTTTCGCAGCGAATTTGTGGCCGCAGGAAGAAATGTATTGATCCAGAGTTAAAATGACTGGAAAGCTTTACCAAAGAAATCTCAAAAACTAAAGAAAATCCTCTTAAAAAATATCTTTATCCTCAAACAAATACATTGCAAACGTCTTTCACTGAAAATAATTCATATCTTAAATAGCACCAGGCCCGTAGGGAGGGGGGTGCGACGGGTGCGCTGGCACCCCCTCCCCCCCCCCACCGGCGCCAGAGGTCCACTTTTTTACTGATCAGCGATTTAAAACAAAGTGAAGTAGGAGTATTGTTCTATTCTAAGCTACTGATTGTGTAGTAAAAGTGAAAATGCTGGAAAAGAGGTCTCAAGCCTGAATCACCCTTTCCACAAAACGTGTTTTAGCCTTCGTAAGTATAAAAAGGGGATTTGGTGTGCCTACAAGACATTTTTTCCTTGCTCAATGAAATTCCCTTCAGGGTTTCTTTGCCATAGCAGCCAGTTTTCTGCGAAGTGTTGGATCTGAATTGTTATTTTAACAGTCGGCGAGTGTGAAATTCCCCGTCTGCCAGTCAACAAGGTAAGTAGAAACAACAGAACACGATCCGAACAAAATAACAGAAAAGAAACAACGAGAACAACGTCCACAGAGCAAAGGAGTCTGGGTACAGACAGAGTTCCGTTTGCCTAGGCGCGGGCGGCACACTAGACTGCAAAACAGTCCGTATTTTTGCGTATTCAAGTACGCGCGAGCAGTCAAACAAAAGGTCTGGAATGAGGCTGAAAACAGAGAGCGAGACTGGGGAGAGACGCTAAAAATACGGACTGTCCGTTTTGCATACGTTATATTGGGCGCTTTCCATTTACGAAAAAAACCCGGAAATTTCGGTGGTAGCAAAAGTGGAATTTCCGATCGGTAAAAAGTTGTTCCATTTGGTCGTAAACCCCGGTACGTGGCCGGGTGCCCGACCGTGGACCTGGAACTGGTACAAACTACAAGAAACGTCAATGGAACACGACATTCCGTTCGGAAATTCCAACCGGGAAAACGGGACCACCTTTTTAGATTTTCCACTTTTTCTGGGAATTTTCCAGTGGGACGAACGGACGAAACGTGTTCCATTTACCGCCGAACCGGAAATTCCGGAAATTTTGACTAAATGGAAAGCGCCCATTCGTTCGAATTACCCGCTTCTCCCAGCCACGGGCAATTCTCATTGGCTAAATTTCGATGCAAGCTGTCACCAAGCTGTCAAGAATGTTTACAACATGTCATTCACGTTGTTCCATACCGTGATGAATTGCTAAAGCTTTCGCTGTAAAATGACAGATGTTGATCGCCTGGATTTGCTCGCAAGAATTGGGATTTGTTTTAAAATCGGAGCAGAGGGAAGCTTTGGAGTTGCTACTCAGGGGAAAGGATGTTTTCTGTGTTCTACCAACAGGATTTGACAAAAGCCTTATTTATCAGATGTTTGTTCATGCAAAGAGTTCTTCAAGTTCCGTGCAACGGCCGACCGTCATTGTTATCTCGCCTGGCTAAAAAAGCGATCGGTAGGAAACACACGACTTTTACCTCATGCAAACATGCCGCTTGTTCAAATGAATTGTTTTCTCTGTCGAGTAGATTATGCTTTGGAGGAAAACGTTTTGACTGAGCAAATGTGAATTTTGGCCGCTTATTAAATATATTTCATACTGAGAGGTCGTGACACGCATATTGATTTTCTCTGGTAGGCATGATTTGCCCTCTGACGCAAGAGCATTTTCTTTCTTGGCCCCTTTAGAAATGTAAAGCTCTTCATTGCGGCTGATTAAGGGTTTTAGGTTGTTTTATTTCTCCAAAGTGCCTCCTGGATTTGAATAGTTTTAAGCGATTTTCTTTGTGTCCGTGAATGTGACTTTTTCCTGCAATGTTTTGTCACGCTGGGCCCAGCTCGTTAGCGTTTTTGGCAGGATTTTAAATTCTCACAGATAGTAATTTACAGAGCTAAATCACCACGACGTGGTTTGGAATGAGGGGATTTGCTCATTCTTTTCAATCGCAATAATTGTTCATTGTCAGTTGGCGTGTTCAGTTCTTCTCTAATTTGCGAAAGCATCGCCGTGCAGTTTCCCTGGGCAATTTCTAACCATTGTTCCGCACGGAGAGCAAACTGCTCTTGTGGAGAAAGATTCTCCTTCCTCGAGGACAACGAAAAGTTCGTTTTTCAGTAGGTCGGCCCACTTTGGTAACGTTTCCCTTTTTCTGGTAGGCGCTACAAACGCATTTTCCGAGCTTATCCATCCATTCGCAAAATTGCCGAACTTTGTTTTGAAACAACAGCCGCAAATTCTACAATTTGTCCAAAGCCCTCGGCTCTTTCGGCTTTCTCCCTCTTCGAGGAGCAGGCACAGGCTTTGTTGTCATACTGCCACTTCCACTCAATTTTGATCCTCCACTATATATACTACATTTCACTATATACACTACATTTCACAGGAAAAAGCTGCTTTAGAATTACTGGATTACAGCGTCAATAATAACACGCGAGTCTATCAAATTCACAAAGAGGGCGGAGTTGCGAACAGATTTTTGACAGCTCGACGACATTTTTGAACCCCCTGGTCGGAACGAACTCATTGTATGGAAAACGGACAGTCGGTTTTTTTCTCTCGCCTCACACGCCCGTAGGGCGTGTGAGGCTCGCGCGCTTCGCGCGCGTAAGACTCTTACGCCACGCTTTACCGATTTCTTTACTGATTTTGAGAAAAAAAAACCGACTGTTTTGCAGTCTAGCGGCACACTAGTCAATACAAGAAAGTAACACAACTAATAATGCCTTATGGCGGTCACCTTTGACATGCTGGACCCAGCTCTTTAATTGACCACTCCAGAAAATACCACAACATACCATAATGCTCTTTGTTTGTCACCCCAAAATTTTGCATAAGCATTGTTTTCAGTTTCTCTTGGGAGTTAAAATGGCCCCAAGAGACACTGAAAACAATGCTTATGCAAAATTTTGGGGTGACAAACAAAGAGCATTATGGTATGTTATGGTATTTCTGGAGTGGTCAATTGTGTTGCTTAGAGGATATTACAACTCCTATTAAAGCTACACAACTCTTGTTACTGTTAGCTTGGAGCTTGATGCAGGGACCGTGAAGGGGGAGGGGCTTTTCAACAGTAAAAAGCAAGTAATAAAAAAAATCGAAGCTACTTTTCTATTTAACGTTTTACCGAAAAACTGATTATTCATAGCGGACAAAGGTTGTTAATTAACTTTTATTACCAGTATCCCGGCCTTGCATTGAATGAGGACGAGATATAGAGTTTTGTCCGCTAAGCGGACCTCACAAGAAAATGGCTAAATTCAGGATTGGTGCGTTTCGATCCGAACTCATTAGCGGGTTTGGTGTATAAGATTTTTCACAGCACAAATCCTATTGTTGAGAGCTAGAGTTCAGTGGCTATGAAAGAACCATTATTTTATATTCTACCCTAAATTTGCAGCAATGAGGGTGAAGCTACTGTTCTTCTTTTCCTTCGTTTTTGTATCAGCTGCTTTAGTTCAACATGGAGCTAAACTTTCGTTATCGAACACGGTCGAAGGTTCGGAGAATAGTTGTAGGCGACGTTTTTATGTTGCTGAAAGTATATAAGTTTCATCACATCATGTTGCATTTCCAGCCATTTCAGAGGGCTCAAATTTAAAAAATTTTCCCGGGGGGAACATGCCCCCGGACCTCCGTAGTTGACTCACGATAACGCGTTCAAGTGAGCCCTCCCAATTTTAAACTTGCTGCGTAATTCAGTCTCAGTCCCCCCCACCCCTCGCGCTACAGACTTGCCCCTCCGGCTTCATTTGGTCCGTCTCCTCGTTGGATCGCACCTCCCCATAAAAAAAACCTGGCCATAGGCTTGAGCACCAAATCAGCAGTCTTGATTGTTTAATGCCCCTACATTTATTTAGTTAACTGATGCATTTCTAGTCAGTCTTGAGTTATAAATTATTTTAATATGTACTTTTTTTTTCTTGTAAACATGTATTCTTTATTTACCTACTATCCCCCTTGATTGTGCTCTACTGTCTTACTATTTTAGTTTTTTATCTAGTTTTTTTCCTGTAACTTTTAAAATTTAATAATCTAATTAATTATCTTTACTCAACTCGCCTCGATTATCCTTTGCTATTTGCGGGTTGAGTACGTATTTGTTTAGTTTGTAACTAAGATGGAGAAACTAATAAAAATGTTCAGCCTTTTTTAGATGCTGTGGATACCAGTAGAATACTATCCGTTATTTGTGGTTGGTATCCTCTTTGTCATGCACTCTGACTTAAATTGTGGTACGCTTTGGAACAGAGCAGTCTAAGAAATGTACGCATGTTTGGCCTTATATCTCGGCCATAAAGGCAGGGGAAGGGGGCGGTATCAGAGAATCTAAGGGGACTCTCCTGAAACTTAGCCTTCCTCGGATTCATCTTATGGATAATTTGGTTCATTCTTGTAAAACAAACAGAAACGACTCGCCGACTGTACAAGGGGATGATGAGGAACACGTCGACTATACGAGGGCGGGCATTTATAGTTGCCGCCGTCGTTTGCTAAAAAATTTTTCCCACTCCAACATCCTAGCAAAAGAGGATCACGAATATCAGGGCTCTTGAAAACATCGACTGGCTTTATTGAAAAATTAAGGTATTCATTTTGGGGGTTTATTTCCATGTAAATCAATTTGCCGTTTGGATGCTCGTTAAGTTTCGGGTAATCATAATCATCTTTTTTTGAAACCTTGCAAATTTGTAACTTTGCCGTATTGTTAAAACAATCGAAAGAATAAGGCACGTCTATATTATGCGTCAAATCCTCTTCTTGTGGGAGATTAGTTATTTTCATTTTTACCAATTTGAGTTCATCTTCGCGTTGTAGGTAATGGGGACTAAGGAATCCCATCTTTCTACGCTCAACTGCTGCGTTTGTTTTAACGGCTACATATGCAACAACTTCCCTGCCTGAATCAACAATGCATCTCTTTGGCCAATTTTCAGGATCAGAGAGAAAGTAGATGAACAAGTCAGCTACCCTTTTCAACTTAGCATCTTCGGTATTCGACTCCCCTTTAACCTCCCTGCTTACCTCTCGCCTTAGATCATCTTTAAAAAACTGATAAAAACCCTCTGCCGGACTCTTTAAAGCTACAATAAGAGCCTTGGCCTTATAGAGTAGTTTTTTCAAACTTTCCTCCCACATGCCTGTCTCGCTGTCACAGTTTCTTGGCTTGCGCATAGTGCAAATCAGATGGCCGAAAAATAGCTGGGCTTGTGTCCCAAGGAAGGCGTAGGTGGAGATGTCTGTCACAAACCTTTTGACTTTGCCAGGTTTTGTTTTGCAGTAAGTTTTCATAAATGGCTTTAGGAGCGAACGCGTCAGTGGCAGAGATCCAAGCTCAACTTCCAAGAGATCCAGAAGCTTGTGTCTCGTGTCTCTTTTTTTGTACTTGCTGACGAACCTTTTGACGCTGTATTCTAGTATCAAATCATTAGTCCCACATACGGGATTTCTCTTTAGCGACTTTGCTATATCTTGGAATTCTCTGAGAGAATAGCGAATGCTGGCTACCGCGTCAGCCATCCTAGTCATGGCGCCTTCAGCCATGATAAGTTCCTTTAGTTCCCCCTTCATACGGTCAAGATGGTTATGTACGGCGGTGAATTCCTCTTGTAGATACTCGGCTAGCTTGTCAAATGGATTGGGAGTCAAAGCTGTAGTAAGGATACTGGTGAGTCCACCGAAGATACCGAGTGCGGGTCCAAGGGCGCCCAGTATCGAGTTAATCTTGGTAAGCGGCCCTTCTACGCCGAAGACCTTGGTGAGTTTCATTGCAGACTCAAGCTGGTTGATATATTTCTTGACTCCCTCCCGACTATTAAGATCTGCTATCTCTTTAGCTATAACGTAACCTGCCTGGGCATAATCATTAATGGCATCGTATATCGGCACTTCAAACGGGCGCGCGTCGGTATAATGGGACGGTAAGGTATCAATGAGTTGTTCTCTTTTCAGCAACTCGGAAATCTTGTCCGGGCAAACACGCAGAGGCTTCAGCTTGGATTTGAACTCTTTACAGGGCGGAAAAGAGGTTTTTTCTTCGTCGCTGCAGGTAGTCTTAAAGTTTGTTGGCAAGTCAACATAGATGTTCGTATCTACTGCCACAGCTTGGAGACAGAGATCTTCCCCAGAGGTAGAAACTACCTTAATGTACTTTACGCCTTTTTGCGGTATCAATACCGGGAGATCGTATCGCTGCATCCCACGGCTTGGGTCAATTTGTTTACAAGATAACAACCTTCCATCAACAGTTTTTGCAAGTATTTTGAAAGATTCTTTTCCGTTCGTCTCAAAATCATCGCAAAAAGCCACTGAGACGCCAGAGTTCTCTGAGTTTGGTGATGCTACGTTTTCTGCCTCTGACTGCTGAGCACGAAGGAATAAGACAAACGCTACGAATACTGACCACTTCATGGTAACACTGCTGAGTATCGGCTGTGCTAAAATAAACAGGAATCTGCGCTGATTACAGCCAGAATAGTCGGGTGAGATTATTGAATTTGCTTTATCAAAAGTATAGCTTTTAAATATTAAAACTCAAAGATAAAGTCATCGCAGAAGCCAGTCCAATGGCCAGCAATGTTGAGTGTTCTTCGAATACCAGTTTTTTACCTCTTGATGGGAAGTTGTCAAGCGGAGAGAAAAATAATTGTTTGTTGATGACAGATTGTATAGCTATGAAATATTTAAATCAAAGATAAAGTCATTTCGGGCCAATATTTTGTAAGACTGTCTTTAAGAATCAGGGTAAAGAATTTACCTAAACAACTACATAAAGTAATTCCGCGAAAGTTATTAGGGTCGCCTATATCACCCGCTTTAAAGACGGGTGAAATATAACCCACCGACCACAACTGGGGAAATATGCCCGAATTCAAAACTTTATTAAAAAGAATTTGCAATACAGGCCCAATGAAGGACACGCTTGATTTGATCATTAGATATACTATCATTTCCGGCTGCCTTGCCAGTTTTTAACTTGGTCGATGCTTTGCGTATCTCTTCAAGCGTGATTGGTTTGTCTAGGATTGGTTCATTTGATTTTGCGAATTGAGCAATTTTAGATACGTTGAAGTCAACCAACTTCTCAAACCCACTTTTTGCGGAGTTATGGGGGGAAAAGAGTTTTCTAAAATAGGTAAACCATTCTTCTGCATCAATTTTGTCTGATATTTGGTTGGCTGCTTTTTGTCTTAATTCGTTTACCATTTCCCAGAAATCCTTGGGATTGTCAGACTTAAAAGAAGCAATTTTTTGAAGTAAGAATTCTTTAAAAGATCTTTCCTTCGTTTTTACTAATTTCTTATAAGCTTTCTTTATTACAAAAAATGTACCTCGCACGATGGGATCAGAGGGAAGTTTCGAAGACAGTTTTCCAAAGCGCAGTACTTCTCTTTTGAGTTCGAAACAAGATTTATCAAACCACTTGTTTTTTCTTTTCCGGGAATTTTTGGGTTTTTTCAACACAGGTAAACCTGATTTACCAGGTAACGTGACTTCAGCAACACTGAAAACAACATCCGAAAGATCTTTAACAGCGTCATCGACATCATAGAAGACGTCTTTCAGACATGCATTAGAAAATTTGTTAAGGTGGTCTACCACCTGTTGTGATGATAATTCATCCAAAATGTTGTTTTGAAGATATTGTTCCATTTGAAAGACACAGGTAGAGGGTGTAACTGAGAAGGAGCCTTTTTTGGTTTCACACGCACCCCCGATTTCAATACAAAAGACATTAGACAATGGTATGACCAGTCCGTTAGAAGAGAGACGACTAAACCCATTATTTCAGTTAGTAATTCCTCAATTACCACAGCGTAGTCAATTGAGCTTACTCCATTGGGGGTGAAGCAGGTAAAGTCGCCTGGTCTGTCACCTTTAGTTCTCCAGTTAAGGACGTTAAAAATTATTATAATTTAAAGCCATGGCAAAGCTCTATCAATTCTAAGCCGAACATGTTAACTTTATGATCCCTGTTGCTTCTTCGTAAAGCATGTTTGCGTTCAGATACTCCTAATCTACAATTAGAAACCTATTAAAGAGACATCTTCTGCAAAATCATCCAAGTTTCCAGTGCGTGCATTAAAGTCACCGCAAAGAATAATTTTCCCCTTTTTACCGAAGTAGGAAAGCTGGTCACGGAAAGTGATAAAGCAATTAATGCGGTCTTTGTTTGATTCTGGGACATACGTCTTCGACGTATACGGCGGTAAGTAAACAGAACAAAAGCCGAAAATGTCGTCCGTAAGTCTAAAGAAATTCCGATCTAATTTCCACCATAAAAATCTGTCGTCATCGCATTTACAAATGGTGACGCCCTGAAACAACTGCTCTTTTACCAGAAGGGTTATTCCACCCGACGCACGCTTAGCCCTTGGGTTTCTCCTCCTATATAAAGAAAAACTAGTATATCCCTCAAAATTTACTTGCTCATCAGTTGGCAACCAGGTTTCTAGCAAGTAATCAGTACTATAAAAGCTAAATTACTCTGGAAATTTCTAATTATATACCCTGTGAGCAGAGGCCCTTCGATCTTCCCGACTTTTCTAGGAAGATCGAAGGGCCTCTTCTCGCAGTGTACTATTTATGTGGTGGCTACGTGTGATGCTCTCTTCGCCCTCTTTTCCGTCGGAAGCTAGAAAGACAAAGTGGCGAAGATTTTGGCAAACCAAGGGATCTAACATATTTAAATACTCAAAAAAGAGAAGGATTCGATCATATATCTTCAAAATTCTGAGAGTGAAAATGTATACAGTGGAATCCCGATTTTTCGAACCACCTTGAAAAAAGCAAATTGATTCGAGCTATCGGAAGGTTTAAATAAATGGGGTAAAATTACAGTGTTTGACTGGTGATGAAAAAAAATTTTGAATTCTATTTGTCACCTGTAGAACCAATGATAGAGAATCGTTTGATAAGGTAGTGTTTCTTATCTTCTATTTCATTTAGAAAACGCATAATTTCCTATATTTGGCAAACCGTACTTTCTATATTCTATCATCAATTTATATGATTACTTGTCCTTGATTTTGCCATTGCTTGTCGCTGGTTCGAGTTTTTTTCAAGATCTAATAAAGAAGATTTCTTTTCTTTTTTAATTTGACAAGAGTACAATTTTAATTTATTGTTATAAATTGAAGTAGCTGTGATTGATGTATTGATGTGTTTTAGCTACCTCTACTGTCAATGATGTTTTTGGTTAAGACAGTTATCTCTTATTTATTTATTTGTCGAGTACCATCTAGTCTAGTTGTATTTGTACCGCAATGACGGTTTCCTCCTAAATGCGTTGAAACACTTTTTAGGCTATCTGACGGTTTCATCACATAAAAATGCGTTGAAAACACATTTTCGAAGAAAAATAAGACGCGTCTTTGTCTTATAAAACAAGGAGTTAAACAATGATAAAGGTTGAAATAGAGTGATAAAAAGTTTGTTATCAATTGATAAGGAAAGGAAGTCAAGAAAACGTTTTGTTGCAAAAATACTGGGTCTATATAAATTGTCCTATCTATGTATGTTTTGAATGTGAGAAGCTTCCATCAGCACAAAAGGAAAGCCAAAGGAATAGCGTTGTTAAATTTCAATAGGATCATCGTTAATAAAAAAGGATTCTTTTCTGAGCGTAGATTTGCGGCAACGCTTGTCGAAAATAATGATAACAGATTTGGGATTTTTTCCCTCTTTGTGGTGGTTGTGGTGTCTGCAAGGATAAGAGGATCTCGAAGTCGTCTCACATAATATCGAACAACTCTAGCAAACAGGCTAAGCGTTGTAAACGAAATTAAATGGCGGATTGAAAAACCGATGCCTAATTACTGGAATTTGGTGCTGAGTTTTCTTTGCTTTTTTCTAAGACTGTTTCGTCTTAGTGATGTTCTCCATATTTAGCAAAACAAAAGAAGTGACTGGGTGGGACGTCGCCAAACCACAAACAATAAACCATTTTACAGTTACAGGTCAAAACGAGGCTGGAGTTGACCTTCGTTTCAGTCAAGGGCGTGTTGGTTTTGATACAACCCATCCTTCTTTATTATGTAAGTCATGTGGTTCTTATGCTAACTCACATTTTTTCAGTATAAGTTCCATTATAAAATTCAGAAGGTTTATATGAAAGGAAGGTCAACCTCAGCATTACGTTCACTCATAGGCTAGATTACTAAGGCTACAACTGTAAAATGGTCTATTCTAGTGTGATCTCGGGTGGCATTCTGCAGGTGACACCTGCCGTTTCACTGTTTCAGTGGAATCGGGATTTTTATAACTTCCAAGGGAAATGGAAATTGGTTCGAAAAATCAGCGAGAATATATTCGAAAAATCAACGGTGGCATGGAATCACACCTGTTTTAACATGGTTTTGTTTTAAAAGAACCAAGAAGGCTGCAGGCAACAACGGCCTCATTTTCAAACTAAACCTACATGTAGTGTAAATTATAAAAGATTTAAGCCAACTAAGCAAAACAAAAACCAGTACTGTATTGGTATACAGTTTGTGTTAATTTTGGGCGGACTTCATTTGCTTTAACAGAAACCCACAGCAGTAAAAAATGTATAATTATAGTAGTTCATTGTTACCTGAGTTAAAATAACGGAAAATATAAGGTGTTGCATCTTTTCAACACGGAAACTCAGGCTCTTTCTTTACAATGTCCGAAATGCTTCCGACTGTGTAACAACAACGGTGTTGTAGTTTATAACAGATTTGTCACTTACTTTGTAATATCAAGTATATAAATACACCTTTCCAGGAACTTGTTGAATGCTTAACCAGGAGTACATGTGCAGATCAAAATCTTGTTTTCCAGGTTGGTTCCTAAATTTTCAAGGTTCAAGAAATCGAAAGTAAATTTTTGAAAGGAATCAAAATTAGTTCGAAATCTCGGAAGTTGAGAAAAATCGAAAGTTTCGGGGAAACCGGGGTGAAATTACTGACCGTGTCTGACCAAAGCAACGTCTTTTGGTTAGAAAAATCGGGCGTTTCGGAAAATCAACTATTTGAAAAATCGGGATCCCACCGTACTCTACCCAGGTGGTTCTAGTTAGTCGAGCTTACGTAGCAGAAAGACTCATAATTTGCAAGCCTTTTTTTTTTCTTCGTATTTAGGCCATAAATAGGAAGTCATGGTCCCAGGCGTTCCTAGCGGAGACAGTGGAAACTGGGGATAGGATCGCTACGTGACCGAAGACACATAAAGATTTTCCTGAGCGCCATGAATGTTTTGTGAAGAAAGCTTTCGAAAGATTTTAAAAATGCGAAAGATGTCCAGCTTTTCCAGAACAGGTCGGTCCACGAATTCTATCTATTGAAATGAGTCTTGTGAAGAGCTTGCGGTTTATTTTCGGCGATAATTGAGATGACACGCCATATTTATCACGTTTTGACTCTTTGGCAATGATGCAGTTTCTCTCGAATGGAGGCCCTTGATTTTCGTGTATTTTCATACACGCCTACTCAATAACAAATGGACGAATGTGACGATATAACAAGTAAAGACCCTGAAGAACCCAGAGAGGGGAGAAGAACCACTCTGTAAGCTTGAATCTACTTCTTTTTGAAAAAAAAAATACAATTCAGCTCATGCATCAAATATTATGGAACTTATTCAAATATTATGGAGGTTATTAAGACCGTATTACGTTCTACTTTTATGTTCGGATTATTTCACAAAGTGCGATTGAGCAGTAAATTTGATGTTAAGACCGATTATTAGGCCCTCGTGACTTATCTAATTCTTCTCGCGGTTTCAAATTATTACCTTTTTATTTATGGTCTTTTTTCGGATACTTAGACTAAAGGACGGCGGACGAAAGTAAACGGCGATAAACCTTTTATGACAAGCGTGAAAATAATTTTGTTTTAACAATCACAACTTTAAACAGAACGTTTTGAGACCAGAACATAGTATTGTCCTGTGAAAAAAAAAAAAACTTGAAACCTCTTTTGTCACACACAAACGTCCCCCATTTGACGCAGGCTACCTTATGCGGATGTCGATTAATCTTTGAAAATATGTAGAACTACTAAAAGCGTTATAACAAATGAGAAGAAGCTTTTGGGCTTTAAAAAACCCTTTTTCTATAGCGGAATTTCATTTTTTATTTTCGTCAGCTGTCAAGCTTGAAAAGCGCATAAAAATTTTGTTTAGGCTTTTATAGACCGTGCTTGCAAAAGTAGCATAATATGCTTCGAGCAGTGGTCATACATTTCTAGAATTATGACAATAATTATGCTAGTTTTTTCTAAATTTTCATTTTAGCAAAAAATGCAGAAATTATTCCTCTTATTTTTCCTCTAAATTTAGTAAAAACAGCTCAATAACCTTACAACTAACAAGTAAATGGCAAACACATTTACCCATTTTACATCTAGAAACTTTAATAGGGCATAATTCACGCCTTCTTGGGTATTGAAGCGAGTTACGCACATGCGTTGAGTCCTGTGGAAAGACTCCTGTGTCACCACCAGTGCAGGGGCGGATCCACGATTTTTTTTAGGAGGGGTGCACTCGTCTCTTGCTCTACTTCAACACCAATAAACCACATAGTTTGTTTTTGTTTTTTTTTTTTTCCAGAATACCAGTTGTATTAGAAAACTGCAGGTCATCTCGGGGGCGGGCTGGGTTGCGCACCTTCTGCTCCCTCCCCCTATATCCGCCCCTGCAGTAGGATCCAGGTTCCATGTATTTGACAATTTAATAAGCAGACAAAAAAGTGGTTTTTTAACTTAAATTTGCCTGTAACACTAATCAAGGGCCGAAAAAGATTGGTTGCACAATCATTAAACGACCATTTTGTGTTGCAAAACTAGCCAAAGTACAAATTATGCTAACAGCGCTTTTTCGGAAAAAGGATTAAAATTATGCTCGTGATGACAAATAATGCCAAATATGATGCTATCAAAATCTATCAAAGCCTTATTTTGTTGGGGTTCAACCTGTTCTTTGCATGCTGGTATCATCATCTTGTGGGTCCTCTATTTGGTAGCAAGGGTTCTCGTGGCTGTAAAGGGTGCCAAGCTTAGCAGCAGATGGGTCCCCGGACTCGTATATTAGGTTCTCCAGACTGAGTACCGGTCCCTCCTTAACATCCTCGTTCGTATCATATATGGGATTCTGGAAGGTTTGATCAGTAGCTGACGTTCTCATCTTGCCAGTTTTAAAATGGCGGATTTTCTTGATGCGATAGCGAATAGCGTAGGCCAACACTCCTTGAGAAGAGAAGAGGCAACAACAATTTTAATAAAACGATTTGTAACAAAAACTGGTCCAATCGTAACCTTTGTACAGAAACTCTTTCCTACTATAATAACTGACCCACGTTCGACTATAGCAGTGCAATTCTCGTGCCCTTATATAATTATAGTTCAGCACCTGTCGTACATAGACTGTGTATTATAATGCTTATCACCGATGGACGTCTCATATTAAGTGGCAACAACGGGTGTTGGGCTTTCAACTGATGTCAATGGAAACGTCAGCTTTCGAACCTCTTTACGATGGCAGATTAACTTTTCCTTATCAACTCGAGACTGAAAAAAATGTTGAAAAGTAACCTCTCAGTTCTTATTGTTGATGGATGAGTAACGTGATTCAGGTAGTGTTCTTTGAAAACAATTACATTTTCCACCCTCACCATATTCTACCGATCCAGTGTAGGGAGTCATATGATTGACTTGACACTCTACCGCGAATAGACACCCAATCTACCAATCTCAATCTTGAGTCTTTGAATAAAGTGATCTCTGAGAGCTTAAAAGGACTAACCATGCATACAGAAAAAGACTAAAAAATGCCTAATTTGGTTTGCTATGGAACGTACCTGCCAGTAGAATGACAATAATAGCCACGCATGCGCCAAAGGCTATCTTCCATTTGGAGGCGACATCTTTATCACTTCCACGCCCGGACGCGTTTGGACTCCTAGTCGTCTTCTCAACTTCTTCTTTTCGTGTGGATCTGGTTTCGTCTATAGCAGTAGTCGTCACTGACTCCTTCAACGTGGTTTCAGTGGGAAGGAAAGTCGTAGGATAAGTAACGATCTCTGGTGAAAGATGTACGAGGAGACCATTAAAGAATTTACGTGTTGTCGTACAATTTCAGCTTTCAGCTTATAGAGGATGGTATGTCACTCAACTAAAAAAATGGTGGACTGGCCCAAATGAGGGGAGAAACGTTCCTTTGTTACTTAGTAGTAACTAAATTCAGTTATAGATTATTACTACTCTCACAACGGATGGCTTAAAACTGCTTAGCCGTCACGATTGCTGCAGATTTGGTATAGCTAGAGGAGGCAACGCCTATCATTATCACCTAGCCTTACCTTTGCAGGAAGAACGCGTTTCTAATCCTGTTTTGCGGGAATTAGAACCCGAGGGACAAAGAAAACAGGACGTTTGTCCCTGATGTGGTTGGTATGTTCCAATGGGACACGGAAAGCATGCCGTCGTTGTCCCATTTAAGGCACCATAAGTACCTGATGGACAGTTCACTGTAAGAAAAAAAGTTTAGAACTTTATGCCGACCCTTACTGTAGACTACTAGGAAGAGTTTCAATACGACCTCGAGTCTCCATCTAAATCTGAGCGCTTAAGATAAATCTACCACAGTTATTTTTAAGTCCCTATATTGGCTCGACGTTAGAAAGGAGCGAACGATCTGGCGGGGCATTAGCAGGTTTTAAATGCTAAATTTCACTTAGTTTAGCCCTGAAGGACAGTGGAAAGGTAGGAAATGCCCCTTTAATTCCAAACCACTGACATACTTCATTTTACAGATCAGATAAGTCAAAAAGGAATAGAAACTGAAAATAATTTGTCCTGAAATTGCAATATACGAATAACGAAAGGTGCACATTCAAAAATGACCTGTTCCCTTAATTACGTAATAGCTGGTGAAACTTTGCCAAAGTGAGAAATAAAAAACCTGTCTTTGAAGAGTGAAGGTACTGACAGAAATTTTCTTGAAACGCCAGAAAATAAGGTTCAGTAGGATGGTTTCCCATCTGACTGGAAGTAAACCAGTTCGAACAACAGCCCCAGTTAGCAACCTCGACCCCAGAGTCTTTTGGAAAACGAGAAGACCCTGGGGACGTGACTGCTCCAGTTAGTAGCCGAAGCGATCGAGATTTGAATCTTGGGCGATTGAACAACTCGGCCAATTTTGCTGCCTTCTGCACAAACTTGGTTTTTAAAAATGGTATGAGTGTGTCTTAAGGGCAGGACAAACATAATAGCCAAAGCAGAGCAATGGCGGCTGTTGCTTTTGCGTTCCTTTTTCTTCATTGCGTGATAATAATAACAAAACTGGTCTGTGATTTTCAAGTTTCGTTTGGAAATGTCTTTTGATTACATAGTTTGGATCTCAACAGAGTTACTTACCGCAAAGGAAATTATTTACATACAACATCGTGCCAGTAGGACACATGGATTTGTACTCTCCAGTTTTCCATGAGCTTGGATCAATGTACAGGATGACATCTTTGATATTTAAGCTGATTCCTCTAGTATTTGACTCGTTAACCAGAACAGCTACAGACTGTTTCATCACATTCACAGACTCCACTACACTTCGAGCGTTCTCTCTCTCGGTTCTGTTAGTCGGCTCTGGTCCTGTTACATTTAAGCCGAGCAACCTCAAGGATGCACTGCAAGAGACGTTTTCCTGGTCGTTGCTTTTGCAGTCATGTATAGTGAGCTTCCTCACTGCATTAGAGGAAAGGTTTGTCAAGTTGTTTACCACTCTTTTGAAAGAAAATTGTACGTCTAACTGAAAACGTTCGTTGTCGTGTAAGGGAGTGTTATCAATATCCATCTGATTGTTTTCTTCATAAGAATCTTGAAGACTTTTGTAGTTACCAACTATCTCAAACGATAATTCCAACGAAGGCACCACCAAAGAAAATCCAAGAACTCTGACGTGGACATCATGAGACAAAGTGAAGTCGAAAGGATTGGACACGTTACACTTGTAAAATCCTTCCTCCTGATTCTGGATTGATGTGAACTTCAAAACGGAAAAGTTGCCATTTTCAACCATTCTGTATCCATTCGCTTCGAAAGGCATGAAAAGCCATTGATAGCGAAGTGGTCGAACCAAGCTGGTTGCCTTACAGCGCAAATAAAAGCCGGTGTTGATCGGAATGTGTAGCTTACTTGGAGGCTGATGTACCAGGGTTGGAGGTGGGTGTACCAGAACTAAACTGGGCGTCGATGTCTCCACACTCACGTGGTTGTAAGCTTCACAAGTATAATTACCGCTATCTTTTGTTGTTACTTTTTCGATTCGCAGATTCTCTGCGTCACTTTCCAGCACAAGCACGCCATTCTTCTTCCAGCGATAAGATGGCGCGGGGTCTCCGGTGGCTTTGCAAGTCAACTCGAGCGTCTGCCCAGTTTTCATGTCTTTCATCACTTCTGGGTGATTTGTAATGTTGGGCGCGACTGCACAGAAAAATTTTTCATTCTTCACGTCTTGCAAAATCTGAAGAATTCTAGACGATCTCTCGGCAGCGTCGGCCACTGTAAGGTCTTCAAGTGAAACAAGGGCTTTGACTTCCATCGCGAGTGCTGCTAATGTTCTCTTCAGCCTGACTGCCTCAGGGAGAGTTGAGTCTTGGTAGAGATAGTTCCAGTTGTCCACAAAGTCTTCCATACAATCCACGAAACCATTGCATTCCAGTGATGTGCCGTTAAATACCCTCTCCATACTCGCTTCCCAGTCTCTGTAAACAACCTCTATCGCCGTTTGCACCTTAGCATGATTTGTAGCATTTCTTAGTTCAATTAAGTCTACTGCACCTATAACCTCCTCGTCTGATGACACGGCCTTCATAGATTCCTTAAAATCTTTAGCGGTGAGCCCAAACTCCGCAGCTTGTGTCATATTGATTGTAAAATCATGGGCTTCAGCATGCCGTTGCCTTATGGTTTTATTCGTGACATTATTGAAAGTCATTAATGATTGGGTAGAGATCTTATAAAGGGAACTTATTATGTCAGTCAAGGCGTGTTGATAGTTTGTAACCAGTGCACATTTTTTCTTGAATTCAACCAGATTTGTTACATAAGCTTTGCCTTCTTCAATGGCTCGCTTTCTTCTTTCTGTCCGTTTTGCTGAAGAAATATGATTTAATGGATGCCCGGAACGGAGAATAACGCTAACGTTACCAAAAAGCTCTCTGACTACTTGTTTTGATATTTGTTGCAAGGAATCATTAAATGATGCAAAATTGAGAACTGAAAAGATCGTTTTCTCTGTGTCCTTGGAGGCTATTTTGAACATCACTGGTATTGAAGTTTCATGGGGTGAGGAAAAGGTAACATCGAATGAAATTTCCCTTATATAAACTGGACATGTTTGATTGGTGCTATTCCAGAGTCGTGCCAAAGCAATTGCGTCTTTCATTAGAGCGCGATTCTCAGCATTCGCCCTTTGTGAGATGTTACTGGCTTTTGCGACAGCATCATGTACTCTTTGAAGGATACTGCGTTCGCGGGAAGCGGCTTCCAAATCAATCTTTCGTTTAGAAAGTTCAATCTCGGCAATTCTGAAATTCTTTTCTGCTTTTTGTAATTTCGTAACTGGTTTAAAGAGATCCCTTTTTGCCGCATTAAGCTTGGACAAGGCCTTCTCTCTAGCCTTGCGACAAAAAACATTTTTTTCCTTGCATCTCAACTCCTTCATCCGCGATGCACAGTTTACCTCTTTGCAACAAGGAGTGGCAACAGTTTCTTTTATAACGTTTACTTTGCATGAAATCTCACATGAGTAAGGTACGTTTGTAAACTTATAATTGAAGACATTCTTCTCACAAGGCTTACGTTCTACCGTGCATTTCCATTCACCCTCATCGTTACACCCAGTGACTGCATTGACCACTCCTTCGACAACCCCATCAGAAACTTCAGGACCAGGATTTTTGGGATCGCCTGGCCCAAAGATTGCATCTTTCGCCATTCCCGTGTACTCATCGACATAGGGTGTACCGTACGAGTCAGCGACTTGCCATAGAGCAGCTCTCGCTGCAGATTCCGCCGCTTTTTCCTCGCTTCCAGTGACAGCAAACGTAACCGTTCCGCTGGCTATTGGATATGCAACTTGTGGTGGAACGCCTACAGACACTAGCCCATACGTAGTAACAACTACCTTAACTGCTGTTGTAAGACCTTTCTCAAAATTACAGCCCAGGAAAGAGAAGAAGTCACCTCCCGAATGATCGCATTCCTCTTCCAAGCAGGTTGCCATCTCCTTATATGGAGGAAGCCTTTCCTTCCGGACATTATGACAGATTGCAGGGCAAAGTCCTTGTTCCTCGCTGATGAGGTCATTGTAACAAGTATTACATGCTGTTCCAGCAACACAGACATAAGGACATGTAGTTACAGAACATAGTCGTTCGAGTGATGATTTGAGTTTGTTGACATCTTGGTTACTCACGGATACATTTTTCTCGGCGGCAGTAACCTCCTTCAAAGCGGCCTTTTGGAATTTCAATGCCCAGAGGTATTTTGTGATGGCCAAACTAGTCCTATTTTCGGAAAGAAGAAGTCTAGTTTTACTTTTTTCAAGTCTTTCGCTCATTTTTTTATCGATATTTTTTAGGGCTACTAGCCGTTGTGCGGTATTTTCCACAATAACTTGAATGTACTCCGTTATCATTCCTTTGATGACATCTTCTAATGCATCATTCGCGCCTCCTACATTGGATCTTCCAAATATCCCGGTAACCTTTAAAAGTAAATAATCCCAAGGCTGTAGTGGACTTGAGCCACTTAGGAATAGGCGATAAGCATTGAACAAGAGGATGTCTCTTTTAAAACTAGCAGAGGTGTTTGAAATTGTCACTTGCGATTCAAACGAGTCACCCAGTATTGACACTGTTGCGTTAATGATTCCATAAGATTTGTTCTGGCTGTCGAAAGGTAGAAATATCTCGACAGAATCCGATTGAGATGTTGTGAAAAATCTTCCTAAGGCTGCCGTCTGGTTGAATCTTGCTGACAATTTCAGATCCTGAGCTTTCCTTTCACCACCGCATCGTTTAAAATTTTCGTTAGCAGCAATTTCCGCCTTAATGGTCACGTTGGGAAACTTCAGTGGTCCAAACTTAACGGTCCCATTTACGTAAAGCTCCAAATGCATGGCTGTTCTCGAGGTTGACGAGGAATTATTCAAATTGTAAGATTTGGCAAACAACGTAACATTGCTATTAGGATTTTCTATGAAAGAGCCAAGCAGAGTAGACGTAAAGGGATCTTTTTGCAAGAGCCCGTTCAGGGACATTTCGTATGTATCTTTGAACTTGCAAGATGTGTAGTTTTCATACTCTGTTAAAAATAAAACGTAAGATTTCATACTTTTAAAAAACGATTCTCAAGGTAAATCCACTGCACAGAAAAATTTCTTAAGAACAGACATGCTGTGACTTTGCGTTCACTATAAAAATCACACATGCAACCGGCGGTGACTTCCCCTATAATGATCTGCGGTACATTTTCGTCACGGTCGTAGTTGCTGATTGTACGTGGTCTCTTAAACAGCTCTCCTAAACAGTCCTTGGACCCTGTCCAGGATTTCTTAAAACAATCTTGATCTCAAATTTAGGCGCTCATTGGCCCCAGAAAAGGTTATTTGACTTTTCCCGCGAGAATTAACGTGCGGACAACCTGCTGAGGCCATTACACATGTGTTAAGTGAATCAACCGCCAACCATGTCCCGTTTGGATCACATGTGAAAGCTCTGATAAAAGTTGAAATATATATTACAGTTGAACCTTCACTAACGGCCGCCTCTCTACAACGGCCACATTTTCTTGGCGGACAGTCCATACATTGACTTTTGTTTAAACCTCTCCTACAATGGCCACGTTCTTCTGTCTCCACAAGGTCCCCAATAGGGTTTCTCAATCTCGTAATCCCGACCCGAGATTTCGAGCAATCCCGTAATCCCGAGAGTTATTTTTGTCATCCCACCTCTCGCGCATACTTTCAATCCGGAATCCCTTCCTGATTTTGCTGTAAAATCCCGAATCCCGAGCCTCAAATAAGGGAAATCCCGTATCCTGGAAAACCTATTGCGTTAACCCTCTCCCCAAGGTGGCCGATGTGGAGAGGTTCAACTGTATTTTGCAAGTTTCAAACTGAAATGTTTTTGCCTGCTTAGGTTTTCATTGAACCAAAGCAGTAAAAGTTCAGGTTAATCTAGAATCACTAAAACGTTTTCGAAGTCACAAGATCTATGGCAGGTTAATGTCTAGCTAAAACGTAGCCAAAACGGGCGCGTGAACGTTTAGGAGGAAAACAATAAAGACTTTTTTCAAGGTAAGTGCAGGAAGGTCCCTAGCATCTTAACAGAAACGAGCTACGCATCCTACCATAGTAAAGTATCGGTTCGTCTTTGTGTGATTGTTTACTTAAGTGATTTCATTCTTACTCTTGATAGATAAGCAAATAGAGGGCCAGCAAAATCGTCTCCGTGTACACTGACCTTGGTATTGCACTTTTCCCGAGGACCTATACAATGACATGTTTATTGTCATCTGTTGCTTTAGAAGGGAAAGAGCTAGGGACACAGTCGTTTGCCCTCGAAAGCCAGCCGTCCAAGAACTTGGAGTTTTGACCCACACCTGTGTTTTAATAACACTGTGTTAGTCTTAGGTTTTGGCATGCTAGTAGTGCTGAAGATAAATAGTATTGCCGTTGACAAAATAACTTATCATTGAGTTTTCGTGGTCCGAGGTCCGGTCCGAGGTGATTCGTGGACGTAATGAAGAGATCTCTTTTGCAATAAGAAATAATTTTAGAGGGGCGTTTGAAATTAACGTAAAATTCCGCGTATACAGTGCCATACAGTGTTCCTATCGAAGCTTTTGTAAAGAGAGAGAAGAAAAAATGAATAAGTCCTCTTCTCTATGCCATGGAACACTTTCTTGTCAGCGTACTCAAATTTGTCCGAAATAACACCAGCGTCTGTTGTCGTGATTCAAGAACGTGATTTGGACCTAAAGTGATATGTAAATATGTAAATCTTGAATCTTGTGCGTGTGGTTTTGGAACTGCTCATATGCAGCCTTGCTCCATCGTTTTAATTATGTATATTTTAGACAGGTTTACCTTTGTTCAAACTTACATTGCTGTTATCCTGAATGTCAATAACAGCATTTCCCACTAAGCTCACTTTCATAGAATGGATGGGATGAGACCCAAAAATAGTCTTTTCTACTCTTCCAAAGAGTTCCAGGTTTCCAGGTATGAGAACATTCCCTCTATTTCCTGCATTTACCGAATAGCTCGTTGTTCTTTGTCGAAAAAACTGCATTGCCAGGACAGAGATGTTCCAGCCTTTAGTTGCAAGTTCCTGGTACATGGGCATATTTTTTAGGGCAACATACGATTGCGGATTGAAGGCAAGAACGACCTTGGAGGGAAGAACATCTAAGCAAAGCTCCACAGCGGCCAGAAGGAACGAATTCTTGCCATATTTTGGCAGCTTTACAGAAGTCCCGTTGACCTCAACGGTTATGGCACCAGTGTACAAAAGGACAGAGTAGTAGCTGTGATCATTTAGTGAAAGTCCCAAACCCCTCAAGACGCTTTTCAGTTCCAGTCCTGTCCAAACATAAGTGATCAAGTCATTTGGCTCAAGAGTCGAAAAAGTTTTCGACGGAGTTAAACGGAGCCAGCTGGGTAAGCTGGTATTTAGGGATTGAAGAAAAACGGTTGCTAACGTTTCTGAGGGAAGACATTCAAGGTTTTTAGGGGTTTTGTCAAAGCATTGCCCTGTGGCTCTTGAAACGGTAAAGCGATCTATTTTGTCAAGGGCTGCTCCTCGCAAGCCGAGTGCTAATGTAAGATTTCCAGATACGATAAAGACAGCCCCGTCTGTGCTTACTCGTCTCCGTGACCGTAACCATGGTTCCGTTGATATTGCGAGAAGAAAACTGCTCCCTACTGGGCACTTATAAAGAGCAATTTTGTGACAGCCCTTTGGGAAACTGATGTTCGCATTTTCATTGCAAGATGTGCCATTCTGAAGAACAATCACCGTGTCTGGTAACACTGCCTGGTAATCCTTGGCTGTAGCACCAGAAAGGGTGTAAGTGATCTGATGGATACCTGGGAGACGTGCCGTGACAGTCATGTTAAAGATGTACAGTCTTCCTCGCTCGAGTTTTACTGGAACAACTACCAGATCCCTAGGATGCAATTCCAATCCTACTGAGGTAAATGTGATTTTCAGTTCGTCCTTTGGTGGAGACAACTGAAAAGTAAAGTTCCAGCTGCTATTCTGCTCAAGTCGGGGGTAATTTGGCTTGCGAAAAATCCCGACCTGGCATTTGCTGCCAATGTGAGCAGTGCCTGTGCAGTTACACCAAAAAGCAGTGCTGTTGAGAGGGCGGCACACGCCTCCATTCAAGCAAGGGTTGGGACGACAAACTGTTATAGCTGCAATGGTCAATCAAATATTAAAACATTAATCAATTAATTAATCATGTAATCTAGAGCGGTCACATCCTAAGGATGAAATACCTGGAAGCTCATATTCCTTACCATCACAGTTGCCAGGAGTGGGTATCCATGTGGAGTCAGCTGAGCATGAAACGGTTTTGCTGCCATTCAGGAAATACCCAGAGCGACAATCAAAGGAGCACTTTCCTTTGTATGTGGTTGAGCAGGGAATTTTGACAAAGCCATTGGAAGGAGGCTTAGGTCTTTTACATTGCTTTGCTGCAATCAGAGAAAAAGAAAATTGATGAGTAATTATGAAAGCATCGCTGGCTGTAATCCATAATCTTCATAATTTCTCGCAGTCTTGGTTTTTAAGATATACCAAAGGTTTAGATAAGTGGATTCTGAATCAATGTTTACCATCCCGGTAGGTCCGAAAGAGTTCTTCAAAGTTGTGGTAAAGTTAATTTGTAATTATTACAGAATGCGGAAACCTGAACAAAGAAACACTCGAGAGTGAATAACTAGGTTTCGTTCACGTTAATTTATACAGTTTACAGGACTTGTACACGGCGAGACATTTTTTCCTTTTACGTATTGCAAGTTTTGTAGGCTTACTTTTGCAAACTGGACGAACTCCGTTCCATTGGGCTTGGATCAAACATGTGAGTAGCATGGATCCTACCAGTTCGTACCCAGGTTGACAGCTAAACTGACAGACACTGTCCACTGTGTTTCCAGTGCAATTTATGTATCCATTGACTGGTTGGGATAGGGACGAACACGGATACCCTGGTAAAGAAATTAATTCAATTCATCATTAGCGACACGATAAAAGGAAATTGTTGAAAAGAAAAGGCCAGATTGCAATATTGACACTTTTAAAAATTAAAACGGTGATTTAGTCGTGGACCAAATAGTTTCCTCTAATGGTATTGCGTCACAAACATCATGAACCGTTTCGCAAGTTAACTAAATAATGGAACGCTATTCAAAACAATCTGATACAAACGCTTTTTTAGGTTTTTAAGAATCAGTAATTTAGAGAAAATCCCTTGCTCTTTCCTTCATCGGACTTTTCTTGAAGCCTCTTAGCAGTCCTAGGTTGACAGCGTTAAAGAGAATAATTGACGTAAAGGGGCTATGTCAAGTTATTTACTATCCTTTTAAAAGCTGAAAAGGTTTTTCGCATCAATTGAATTCCAAAAAAAATGGTCCAGATCTGTTATTTAAGACTAAAATTAGGCAGTGAAGCTGTGTCTGTGTCCTGTTGTCTACTGCTACGGATGGTAAGGATGGACATGGATTGAGACTTGAAAAAAATGAGCCAGCTTTTTAAAGTTTTAATGCTATCACCTAAACAATTATTATGGTTAATGCTTCGTGATGAAATTTTTTTGATATCGTTTTTGATATCATAACTCTACAGAAGCATTTTATGTACGGTTAAAGGCACTAAATAATATCCTCAGGGGCGTAGCTGGGGGGGGGGGGTCCTGGGGTGCCCGTGACCCCCCCTTGGTAGGCCTTCTTTTGAGCAAACAACCTACAATATTCAGGTGGCGAAAACGCCATGACAATATCTTGGCCGTAAAAGCCATTGTTGAAAAGCCCAACTTTTTAAAATTTGTTTTTCTGTAACGTATTTTCGTCAACGGCTGTTGTCTTCAGTTAATATGGGCCTTCATGCCGCGATGATACAACTGAGCCCGCTGATACACGAGGGAGAGCAGTGGTATAAACCATATATAGTCGGCGATCCCCGGATGGTGTCCCTGTCTGTGACCCCCCCTTTGAAAAATCCTGGCTACGCCCCTGATCCTCGTGTCATGCTGCGCATACCTTTGCACGTTCTAAAGTCGCCATCAAGATAGTACCCTGGTCGGCAAGCGCAATAGTAGCTACCT